GACTCCCTCCCCTCCCACTAGCAGAAAAACACACACGAATCTGGAGCTATCATCTGGACAGGTGGCCAGCCACCCAGACCTGACCCGCCTGCCCTCTTGCGTGCTCCCTCCCTCTGCCCCCGCCCCAACTAAAATCAGTTCACTTCTGCTGGAAAACCCCAAATGAACATACACAGCAGCAGCACCACCCCCCCACCACACACACACCTCCAGCAAGCCCTGCACCATGTCTGTCACCCACTGTGCCTAGTCTGTGGGGATTACTGCCTGCACAGTGCAGCAGCCAACCAGACCCACAAAAAAGGTTGTGTCTAGCTAATGTGAAGCCAAATAATTTTAATCAGGATTTATTCTAAAGCCTGACCAGAGTAGAAAAGCCAATCGGCTCAGTTATACACAGCACCACCTGGTCTACAGCCCATTTACATTGAATTAACACGGTCACACAGTACTGATGAGTGATGACAAAACAAGCAGCGACATTCAGATCAATGGATGTTTGAAAATGTTAAGCAAGTCACATTTCCTATTAAAAGTATGGAGATGCTGCAATTATTCAATCCTCGCCAACTATACCCAGTCACAAATTTCAAGGTGGAAATACAAAACATTAGATTTGACTGTTACACACAATGCTTTATGACTTTACGAAGATGGGCGTCTAATATTTAGGGATGTCGGTGCAGATTAGCAAAAAGTCGCAGCTGTCACACAGATATGATAAATAAGACAAACGAGACGGATCACTCGGGTTAACTGGAGAAAAATGGACATTTTTTTTTCAGCGACGATGGGGTTAAAAAACACATGGCCGTGAGCTGTGCATTTTGTCCTTAGATGCACTCCACATTTGAGAACTAGGTTTTCATAAGAGCCACGTCGCAGTTTATGTAGTAAATACAACAGTGCTACACTTCTTGGAGAGAGCTGAAGTCATAAAAGTACATGCTATACACTGTGTGTATATGCATGTGTGGGGGGGTAGCTTCAATATTGACGGCTAACACGCCGTATTAAGCGAAAACCACGGCGCCAACAGTGTTTTAAAAAACGATGCTAAACGGACAGTTTGGCCACAAAAACCGCAACGTGTTTCAGTCAGACACCGCTAGCTAGCGTCCACTATCGGACAGCTAGCCGCATTAAGTCGTGAGTCCCGATTCGTAAGCGTGCTGCCCCGGCTAGCTGGATGTTGAGCACGTTTCGAAAACAAATACAGGGCGAGGAATTAAAACGAGAGCTCTCAGCGTGAGCCCAGTCGGTGGGGTTCAAACGAAACGGCGATATCGACGTCAAATTACTCCCGCAAACATGTCTAGCTGTTTAGCCTGGCAGCTAACAGTTCGCCGTTGTCTGGGAGAAAAGGACCACCGGGGGTGAAGTATCGCTTAGCAGAGGGGCTAGCTCACAAAACACTGCAGCAACAGTCAGCTCAAGCAAGTAACTGGTCAAAGAGGGGGAAAAACACTCGCACGCAAAGACACTGACACAAAGAAACGGCTTCTGGCTACCAAACCATCGGCCAGAGGACGTGCAGTGTGCTCGATGATACAACGCGTGGGTTAAAAGTGAGCTATTTCATGGCAATAAGTTATATTCTTATCAACTCCGCTCCCCACCGCCCCGAATCTCAGACTCACCCTGTCACAACAGGCGCCATCTTCCACAAACTCTCACCAAAACTCCAATACTCGCGATATCCCCTTCTCTCCCACAGCCCAACAATCCGCCGAGACAACAGGAGCAGGACTGGAGGTGTAGGGACGAGGGAGACGGAGAGAAAAGGGGGTGGGTGAGTAAGACGGAGAGAAAAAAAGGGGAGGCGGCGGGTAACAGCAACACATACACACTCTCTCTCTCTCTCACACACGCGCACACACACACTCACTGAAAGAGAGAGAGTGAGCGAAAAGGGCAGACGCCACAACAACAGGCGTGGGAAACTTCCGAATTCACGCGAGAATTGGAAAACTCTCACAATAGGCGAGCACAGAGGGAGCGTCCCCTATCGCGAGATATGCGTGAAATCGAGTACTTGTTTATCTTGTGGCGCTGAAATACTATTCCCACGTGTTCACCGGGTAATAAATTACAGCACCGATTAGTTTGAGAGGGGGAAAAACGATAGTGGTGAGGAAAGCCTTGATTTTTGTTTTCCCAGGCTCACGCGCATTTTGTTGTAGGCATCCTGTCTCCATGTGGAGTCCCTGCGTTTACAGCTGTGTGCAATTACAAGCCAAATTGTCATCCATATATGCTCCCCAGCTGACTGCAGACAGCAAACCTGCAAGGGTACCCTGACTTTAAATGAGAGTAGAAATTAATGGAGGGTTTCTACGCCCCAAATATACAATTCCCTTGGGTAACATTACAGTCCCTGTTTAGAATGTGGAAACAATGGTGTGAACACATGCGAATGGACCATGCAGAGAAGATTAGTGCATTGCTATCACACTGGGCAGTCCCATGACCACCCTCCACACCAAACCTCAGCCCAAAGTACAAGGGAGGCTATTATTTAGAATGATCATGCTTGCAAATGTGGCATAAGCTTTATTAGCCCCCGCCCCCCCCCTTTTTTTTCTTGTCTGCTTCTGCCCCTACTCCACCCCGTCCACCCCTCCCTCAAGTGCATTTCCAACGGTTTGTGTGTTATACCATCCCCACAACAAACAGCTCAAGCCATTCTTGTTTATCTGGGAGGGGGTCTAAGAGCCATAAACCTTCATGTAGGTCCCCATCCCCATGTGTGTTTGTGCCCATACAGCCTTCATTTAAACCTGTTTGGGATCTTTGTTCAGCTAACAAGTGACTTCTGGTGGGAATTTTTCCAACTTCAAAGAGGAAAAGAAGGCTTCTGAGACCACACCGATGGCAAGTCAATGCTTTCGTTTGTTAGATGTTGTGTGAGTGATCTGCCTCTGGCTGTTTTGTGTGGAAAAAGTGGTTCTTGGGCGAATGAAGAAGATCAAAAAGAAAAAAAAAATAGACAAACACCAAAGGGATATTTGGGAGATTTTCTGTTATGTGTAAATGCACACAATATTTTTAAGGAAAATAGTTTAAGCTTAAAGCTTTTTCTTAACCTTGTAATGTCAAGTGTATATTTTTCAATGCACTTTTTTGTCAATTTTTGAGGCTTTTTGAATTGTCAGTATGACCCCCCCAACCACACACACACACACAAAAAATCTGAATGTTGCAAATATGATACATATTAAAACTCATATATCCAAATTAATATTTAATTTCTTTTTTTTTTATTCGTCAAAAAGGTCAATAAATAATCCATCTGGCAATTGTTTGTTAAGGTATTAAAATATATGGGTAATGACAGATGGGTAATTTAATATATTGGGAAATATGTTCATCTTTTTATATTTGAGTTTTTACAGTTAGTTGTTTTTTATTGATTAAAAAATCAACTTAACATCAGTTTTTGTGGGATATTTAAGTTGTTTTGAAATGAAGATGTGCTCGTAAGGGTCTAACCCTTTCACTCCTTTGATTTTTTTCCTCGTATCTTTTCTTTGACTTTTCATCAAGTCTGTCTTTGTACGGACCGGCATTGTTCTACTTCGTTTTGTACATAAATTTTTTGGGGGGGCAAAGAAAAAGCAAGAAGGTATTGGAACCGGAGAATGAACGTTTTGCGGTGCTGCAAATGCTTGCGTTTGATGCATTGCTTGGATTGTTTTGCCACGAGTACCCGGCGTGCAATGCGCGAAAGTCACGTGGTCTGTCAATCTCTATTGCAAACAAGTGCATTTCCTCAAATGGCCACTTGAGGCAGGCTTCAAATGTGAGTTCAACGTTAAGGTGTCAGACGTTGCAGGAGACATAAACATGTCTGTATAGGTTCTCAGTCATCCAGGTCATGGTAGTCTAAGCAGTTTGGAAAGAAAGTGAATGGATTCATCCATCCATGTCCTCCATCCAGTTCAGGGTTGCCAGACTCCTGAAGGCTGGCAACCAAAAGTCATGAAGTGAGAGGCGGGATACACCCTGGATAGGCCGCCAGTCTGTTGCAGGGCTAAAACGTTGATTATGCTCTATTGTTGACACAGACATGGACATCCACTTCCACTCAAACCATTGCACTCCACGTTTAATGATGAACCTTGCATCACTCTAACCCAAGCGACAGTAGTGGATTCACGGTGTGGAAAATATAATCAAAGTTTAACACTTGAGTCCAGGAGGCAGAGCTTGGTATAGTGCCGCTACTCCTCCACATTAGAGGGTCTTCCAGGCATATCCCAGTGGGTGGAGGCCCTGGGGTCATGCTGGATAGATGATGTGGCTTGGGAATGCCTCGGAGAGCCCCCGGAAGAGGGAGATCTGAGTGTCTCTACTTAAACTGCTACCATATTACCTACAGCTACTATAGCATATCTTTAGAGTGTAGATGTAGTTCTCCCGGTACTTCTGGCTCAAGACGGTTCAGGAAAACTATGCAAACTCCACACAGAGAGGCTCCAGACAGCTGGTTTATTCAGTCCCAGGACTATCTCACTGTAGGGCAACAGTGCTAACCACCAAATCTCAGCGCTACCTTTATAGCTCACCTTAATTTTATTAAGACTTGACATTGCTAGTCAAATCTTAATAAAATTTAAGACTTGACTGACAGCATCTGCCTCTGCAGTGGTGATTTTTGAAGTATTTTTTATGGTAATTACCTGACAAATAATACATATTGCTGTGCACTTAAGTTTACTGAAAGACCACCCAAGACCTTTTATATATCAGTGATATGTTATTTCTGCCTGCTGATTAGCAGATATCTGTATTTTTTATGTGAATGCACACTTCTGACCATGCTAGGCTGTCTGGCTCCACTATGATGTCCAAATGCTAAAACTGAGGCTTCAGAGTCAGTGGGTGATGCGGTGTTGGCTACCACCATCTTTTATATACAGTCTGTCAGTAAAAGGCCACTGTGACGTCACGAAACAGGTTGTTGATAGGACACTAAATTGGTGACATTGGCGATTTAAAGTCCTCAGTACCTGCATTATATAAGTCTCTTAGACAGTCTTTATTCTGCGCTAAGCTAACTGGCTGCTGGCTCCAGCTGCAAAGGCAGCACAGGAACATGAGCGTGGTATCTTTTCAATGAACTGTTAAGCAAACAGTTTCCAAAATATCAAACTATTCCGCTCGCTGTGAGATATGATACGAATCAAGAAGAAATCAAAAAAGTGTGAGCGCATGAAATAGCAGTTTTTGCTCACCTCCGTCCGTGACAGATAACCTATCAGTGTCAGTGCGCAGCACCACCAAACAGATTCTCTGTGTAAAGTAGCAGATGTGATATCCCCCAGCGTACACTGTATAAATCTACCCATTTCATATCTTTCAAATGCATAATTCATTTTTACGGAGCTTCACTGTTCTGCCAGAGAGAAAGAGAAAAAAAGGAGGGCGAGTTAAAGAGTTGCATAGAGTGTGCCTGGCCTGCAGCCCGCTCTATGAAGACGCAGAGACCTCAGAGACGAGGACCTCATCCTGCCCTCAACCATTTTTCCTTTCCTTCTTTTTTTTATAGCCATCCGAGAACCTCCAGTTACACTCAGAGCTGAATGGGGAAGCATAAAGTTTCCTCAAATGTTTTACAGCTGAACACAGTAAAAGGAAAAAAAGCTTAAAAAAAAAAAAGAGCAACTACGGTTTTCAGAGAAAATAAGAGTCAAATAGAAAAAGAGAAGAAGCTACTTCACTTTTACATTTTAGTGCTATTAGCAATTCCAAAACTTCGAAGTCTGATCTTTGACCTTTCCTGGTTCTCTTTAAACGTAACTCGATTTAAAAGGCCACTTGCAAACACAATTTTAAGGCTTTTTCCTGTCATATACATGTTTCTCTCCTGCTCCAAGCTTTGGATTCTTGATCATTTTTCTTCATCATTTCAATTTCCTCCTTCCCCTCCATGTCCCGTTCTCTCATTAGGAGTGAAAAACCATTTATTTTACCAGAGCCAGGGCCAATTCAGGCAATCATGACTAAGCCGTAAGCCTCGGGTCTATAAATCCCCGCACTTGACTGCTTTAAGCTTGTGGCTCAGAATGAAAGACAGATTGAGATAGAGGGCGAGAGAAATCCTAGTCCCCAGCGGAAACGCCACTAACTCGTACATCATCCCATCAGCGCCGCAGTCTAAACGGTTTGGGCTGAAGGGTGGTGTTGCACCAATCGACAGTAAAGTCTCACAATTCCCCTTCCTTTGAGTACTGAGTTGAAATTGCAAAATTAACGCGTTATTGTTCTGTGAGTTTGGCCAATTTTCACATCCAGCTTATCCCGCTAAGCTGAAGGCCCTAGTAACACTTCTAAGAAAAAAAAAGAAGAAGCCATAAAAGAGGGAAATGATTGTCATCAGCAGATGTGACGAGTCGAACAAAGCGCGAGAGAGAAAGTGAACCAATTAGGGAAGTGCAGATCGAGCTTCCTGACGAGCAACTCTTCAACTTACTCATTACAGCCGGGGTGGTGAAACTTCCTGACACGCTACAGCACAGTAGAAGTGCAAAGCAGCGACAGACAGAGGAAGGTGGGCCGAGAGACACTGGGTCAGATGTAAGACACGCGAGCTGATGGATGCGGACATGAAGGATGGACTCGGTTGCAGGAAAAGTCCACTTACTGCTGTAAACAAACTCATCAGTGCGTTATCGCAAGAATAAAAATTACAAACTGATCAACTCTGGCTCGTGTGAGTCTGAGTTCACGGCAGAAAAGGGCTTCCCTGTCTATTCGTCCATCCGTCAGGTCCATCTGTCTCGCTGCCGAGGCCTCGTGGGAAAAGCCTGGGGCGGACGAGGGCAGACAGTTTGACAAATGGGAAGGA